TGCCGTAATTCTCCCTAGGACTTGCCTCAGATGTTGACAGTGGTCTTCCCAGGTTTCACTGAAGATGACCACATCGTCCAGATAAGCTGCAGCAAACTCCCGAGTGCCTTGCAGGATCTGATCCATTAGGCGTTGGAAAGCCGCTGGCGCCCCCTGCAGGCCAAATGGCATAACCTGGAAATGGTATAGCCCAAAAGGGGTTTTAAAAGCTGTCAGTTCTTTAGCTCTGGCAGTTAAAGGAACCTGCCAGTACCCCTTGCATAAGTCCACTGTGGATAGATATTTGGCCCTGCCCAGTCTTTCCACCAACTCATCAATTCTTGGCATCGGATAGGGGTCTACCCTAGACAAGCTGTTAATTTGTCTAAAGTCAATACAAAACCGCAGGGTGCCATCCTTTTTCGGGACTAGGACAATGGGGCTACGCCACTCATTATGGGAGGGTTCAATCACCCCCATGGAGAGCATAATGTCTAGCTCATCTTTAAGCACCGTTACCAAGCATTCAGGGATCCGATAACTCTTCTGGCAGGGTGGTGTTGCCTCCCTAAGGATGACATCATGTAGCACCAGGTCAGTACGCCCCGGTTTCTCCTGAAACAACTCCTGATCCAACAGCTGCTTCACGCGGTCTCTTTGGGGCTGCTCTAGATGGGATACATCCACTGCTTGTTGGACGCAGCTGGTTGGAAAATACTGTTCTGTCAGTTCCTCTTCTTCCCTGACCACCTGAACACAGAAATGAGCAGCCTCCGACTCAGCCCTAGGGTGAAATTCTTTCAACAAATTAATATGGAAGATTTGCTTTTTCTTCCCCCGCTCTGGCATAAAGATCTCATAGGTGACACTGCCAGTTTTCCGCACTATCGTGTAGGGACCATGCCACTTAGCTAGCAACTTATTCTCACTGGTAGGCAGCAGCACCTTTTGGCCTGGCTCAAATGATCTCTCCCTTGCCTTCTTATCATACCACACTTTGAGTTTGCTGGGCTTTTTTGATGTTCTCCTGGGCCAATGATGTCATCTCTTCCAAACGCTCTCTCATTTGGATCACGTACTGGATCACACTGCAAGTACCATCCTTGGGTCCCTCCCACTGTTACTTAAGCAGGTCCAACGGACCTCTCACCTGTTGGCCATATAACAGTTAAAATGGGGAGAAACCTGTGGAGGCCTGGGGCACCTCCCTGTAAGCAAATAACAGATATGGCAACCATTGGTCCCAGTCTGCCCCTGACTTAGAAACGAACTTGCGCAGCATGCTTTTTAGGGTTTGTTTGAAGCGCTCGACCAAACCATCTGTCTGGGGGTGGTAAGGTGTGGTCTTAATAGCCCTAATCCCCAACAGTTGGTACACCTGTTTTACTCCGCCAGCGCTGGTCTTGCTTCACCATTACTTGCTCCATTCGATCGTCACAGGCTGCTTGTGACTGCAGGAGAACTTTAACCAGGCCGGCCAGTTCTGACACCGTTCCTTCTGTTGAGCCCACTACAGGAGAAGATGTTATGGGGTCACTCACACTCTCAGCAACTGTTTCTGCCACCTCAGTAGAGCTGGATGCCTCCTGACTTAAACCTGGCTGTTCTTGTAGCACTCTACCTCGGTCTTGTCTGGTCTTGGGTGGCATTATGATCCCACTTCTGACACCACTTGTCAAAGTCCCACTAGAGGTACCATCTAGAGTTCTTCAAACAATGAATGGAGGACGTTGAATGCCAGCTTTTCTTTTTATTTCGTTTTTCCCAAGCCAATGAAGTGTAGAGTGCTCACAGGTGCAAAACATAAAACAGCTGCACAAGGCAGTTAGCTACTTGTCTAGCTTTGATGTTTCTAAGGGGAAAGGCTTCGGGATACTTGGTGGCATAATCACAGATCACTAAAATGTACCTGTTCCCATTCTTACTTCTCTCTAGGGGCCCCAGTACATCCATTCCCAGGCGACTGAAAGGTGTGTCAATAACTGGCAATGGTAATAAATGTGCGGGTGCCACTCTCTTTCCTGAAGTCATCTGACACTCTGTACAGGTACGAATGAACTCGGTTACATCAGTATATATCTTAGGCCAAGTGAACCGACTTGCAATCCTTGCTAATGTTTTATGTTTGCCTAAGTGTCCAGCCCATGGAACAGAATGTCCCAGAGTCATAATGGTATGGCGCATTGATTCCGGAACTACTACCGCCTCAACTTCTCCTTTCACCTGATAGAGTATTCCCTTCTTCAGGATGTACTTTTCCTCCATTAAACAAGAGACAATGTCATTTCTTACCCCACCTACCTCAGACACCTTCTGGAACCAGTCCTGTAAAGTAGAATCTTTTTTCTGCAGTTCCACTATGTCCTCAGGGATAATCATGTTAAGAGGCTCTTTAGGTAACTTACTCCGCCAGCGCTGGTCTTGCTTCACCATTACTTGCTCCATTCGATCGTCACAGGCTGCTTGTGACTGCAGGAGAACTTTAACCAGGCCGGCCAGTTCTGACACCGTTCCTTCTGTTGAGCCCACTAAAAGAGTTTTAAAACCCAAGTATGTGTTTATGTCTTAATGCAAAAAAGGGCTAGGCAGAGGGAACAGAGGGCAGCTCTGTGACAAGAGGTTTAAGAGATTTTATTTTCAAAATAAAAGTAAAAAAAAAAAATTTACTTGTACTTTCTCTCTTGTGCTTTCTCACTTTTACAGATGCTGAATGATAAACATGCCATGGTGCGTGTTGGTGGTGGATGGGAGACCTTTGGTACGTACTTGTTAAAGCATGACCCATGTAAGATGATTGAGGTCGCTCGGCCTGGAACCAAAACCTGCAAGCCTAACGGCAGGTCCCTAGTCAAGAGAGAGCTGTCCCGGGACAGTTATCTGGTCGTAGGCACTCATTCCCGCTTCAAGAAGTAATGTGACTCAGTAACTGCTACTTCTGTTAAATCAACAGCAGGCTGATTTTTCTGTTGTTGTCTAGGAGTGAAGCAGCCCAGGTGGGTTTTTTTTTATTTTTTAAGGCAAGTGGTCCTCAACCTTTTGGGTCGTGACTCAAAAATGTGTCACAGGTCTGTTCTTGAAAAAATGTCTACAGTATGATTGTTAATACATTTCAATGTTTAGGTTTATTTTTAAAGAACATTCTGTTTACTTTTTGTATGATACACAATTTTGGTAATGTGCTGGGTTGGGTCACCATTTGATGTACAATCTAGCCTGACACAAAAGAATATCGACCCATATGTTTTATATAGGGTATATATCATATCTCATGGGTTTTGTTTGTAGATATTACAAGTTTTTCATCTCCCTCTGTCTTTTTTTTCCTTTAAATTTTAGAAGCATAAAGGGCAGGATGAATAATTTACTGGGAATTCACTGGGATTGATTTACTTTTTATTTTATTGTAACCTTTAATTCTGATTTATGGGTGTTGTATGCTCACTGTTGACTTTACAAAAACATTTCTGTAATGTATTCTTAATGAGGGTATAAGGTGAACATGTTCCACAAAGATCCTGTAGGTGGTGCCCTATATCAAATTAACCATATTTCAGTACTACACGTGGCATTACTGCAACATTACCTTTCTATGTATAAATTTGTCTAGAGCAGTGTTTCCCAATCTTTTTTTAGTCGCGGCACCCTTTGGAAATTTTAACAAACTTGTGGCACCCTACAAAATTAATTTTGTCACAATATTTGAATTTCTAACTTCGATATGATAATTTTAAAAGTATAGATATTCGGTACAACAGGGCAGAACTGCAGAATATGTCATACAGATATTTTTAATATTATTTAAAAATTTTGTCCATCAATAGTGGCAATCAGTAGGCTAATTTCTAATGAAGAGACCAATTTATATGACAGATTTTAATGTAGGCTTTTATACATATGTAAACATTATTTAATTACCATTATAACTAGCTATCTCACAAATTTTTGCTCACTCAGTGTTTTCTGTTTCTGAGGGCTATTGCAAACAGAAACAATACTGTACTACATCGATGTTTCCTGTCGGCTCATTTTGAGTGGACGTTGCGGTTCCGATTCGCATGAACGGTATAGGAGTGGAGCGACTGAGTGGAGCGCACACGCATGGAGCGGGATAATACGCAGAGTGTCACACCACGTGAAAGTGAAACCTTAGCGGTGAACTAATTTTCGGCAGCCGAAATTTCATCGACATCAGAAATGGATATTATATAATAGATGCTTTTTTGAACATTTTAGCAATTTAAAAATATTAAAAAAGGATTTTTACACGGCACCCCTGCTCTCAACAGACGGCACCCCGGTTGGGAAACGCTGGTCTAGAGTACTATGAACATAATAGCTATGCAGTATAGAAAGTGTATTAAACAGGACCCACCTGCCCCATATGCTTCCATTAATGTACTCAGAATTTTTATCATTATTATAATTTTTTTACACTGGGCATGTTAGCAATTAAGTCAAACCGAAGCCAAGGTGGGCTATCACATTCAAAACTATTTAATAAAAAAAATAAAAAAATAAAAAACTGCTGAATGAAATATAAATGAAAAGTACCCTCATGTTGAAATGCTACCAACATTTTATTTCATAAAATAAAAGTCATGAAAAATTTTTTTTACACAATCTAAATACACTGAAATTTATCAATATGACCGCATGCGAGACAATGATACTTGTTTTCTCCAGCTGTAATTATGAAAAGCCGTTCATACCCCCAAAAAAGTGGTGCTACTTCAGCTGCCAAAGAAAATGGCAGCTTTTCTACAAATGTCTCTCATATCTCCCCAAAAGTGGCAAAACACCTGAAGCTGCTTTTATTAGAAAAGCTTTTTACACATTGTTCTTGCGATCTTTTTTTTTTTTAAATCCTGTCCAAAACATTCACATTTCAGACTTTTCACACAAATCTTTTTGAAGCTGCTTTTATTAGAAAAGCTTTTTACACATTGTTCTTGCGATCTTTTTTTTTTTTTAAATCCTGTCCAAAACATTCACATTTCAGACTTTTCACACAAATCTTTATCTAAGTGGTGTTTATTACTTCTTTGCCACAATATTTTCAGTCAGTTTCATCCGAAAGTTCACACTCAATACAACACTTTCCCATCTACCTAAAGGGATTTGTTCTTTTGGCTTGGTTCATTTTATGTCTGAGACATAAATGTTTGTGCCAATCAGCTGAAAGCTTTACCCTAAAAATTACTGGACACCCCAGTTTCCCTCAAACAAAGACAATTTACAAACACATTCCTATTTCCCAAAATATGCACTCAGAATACATCCACAGTATTTGCCATCCTTAAAGTCTTACATTAACTATTGCGTTTCCCCATCCCCCACTGTGAATATCATCACCAGTATATTGTGCTCAAGAATTGATCTGGATTCTGTGGACGTCTGTGAGACTATGAATGTACATTTGGCAAAGACGTGAGGCATTGGTAAAGGATTTATAGTAACTGTGCTTTTCACAGTAGCATCCTCAATAAATAATACCCATTGGTGAGAGAAAAATAAATATGAATTATTCATAATAATGTGGAAACACTCACTTAAAAAAACATTACAAGATTATTACTAGATTAAAGCCTCCAGGCCTTTTGGGGTTTTTAAAATATTGTTTGGTTGGAGTCATCTAAGAACAAACATTACATGATGTAAACATTATAACTTGTTGCGCGTCATGTACTGTACCATATTCAACACTCTACCTGCAATCCATCTCTTGATTTCAATTCTGTACATTATGCGTTCTGTATTTAGACCTCACATCACTTTTTGTGGCAAAACAACACTGAGTTTTCTTCAAAATCTTCAACTTGCATGTGCAGCCAGAGCTTTAATTTTATCTTGACTATTCAGCAACATTCAGTTGTGGTTGGATATAACTCTGATTCTAATCATGTTGTACTCATAACAGCAATAAGGCTTCATGAGAAATGATGTTCAGAAAAAACCCCACAAACATTTTCATTAAGTTGGTAATTCACATGCCATTTAGTAATACATTTGGTCAGATTCCTCAAACCAGCTACCACAGACCAAGCCATGTCACCGCTCTTTACAATCATAACAAAGAGTGAAAAGGCTCCATTTGTATCCCAAGCATAATTTCATACAAATGTAGACCTGAAATCTAGACAAACCCATTTTTACGCATACAGACTCTCTGAGGCCATGGGAAGTGTGCTTCTCAAAGCTTGAATGACAGAAATACTTTTATCTCTCCTTTTCGTTGCTCCCCTCTTCACTCTGGGCTCACAATCCTCCACACCGTCAGTCAGCTATAAGAAAAAACGTGGATTTATTTATTTGTCCTCTTGATGTCTTTGAAAAGATTTCTGTGCAGTTGTGTGATTTTGAAAAGAGAGCACCATTTTATTATGAATCGTCTTGGAGAGAAGACAGCCGCCTCTCCGAAAATTTTCATTGGGTTTTTTTGTGCCACAAAGGACCAGAATGAGACATGTGAGACGGTGGAAGATGCTTGGTGGTCTGTGCTTGTGTCTCCATTTGAGTCTATCAGCAGTGTTCAGGTCATTTACAGACTTTAACCTTTTAAACAAATGGACGGTGTACACGAGTCGTGTTGACAACGGTGATCAACAAGAGCCCAAAAGCCACTGGAGTCATATGAACATGGAAAGAGGAATGATCCAGTCAGGATACTGCATGATGATGAAGAGGCCAGATGCTTTGTCCTTATGTAGACGCTGTATACATGTTGTGAAAACGTTGCTGCAATGTTGCTCCAGAAGTCTCTGATCAGACAGTTCCATTTTCGTGTCTGGACTTGTGGACTGTGGTGCGGGCCAAGGGGCTGCTTAAAGAAGGGGCCAGCGTGCATAAGAAACCGGCCAGCAGGGTGAGACCCAGTCCGCCCCAGGCACAGAACATGGACCAGCCATACCCATGACTGATGTCCTCTGGAAGGCCGTACAGGTAACGTGGATAACGCGACAACTCAAAGTTAATGCCCGCCACACACGTACAAAGGGAGATAATACAGCAGGTTCCTGTCAGAGGGGAAATTACTCGAGATGTATCATCAAACATTTATGAAACACCCTTTCTTTTAGATCACAAATATAGGATGCAAAGCTTTTGATCTATTTTCAAAGCACCTTCTTGTATTAAAAAAGCAGCCACTAGATGGCGACAAAATTGAGCAGTCGACTTCTAATCTGTTTGTTTCTCTCACACGCGCACAAACGCACACTCTGTCTCTTACCGCCCATGAGGAAGAGTAGTCCAGCTACATACTGCATGAGATCATGTTGTTGACAGCATCCAAGAACTCCGATGACCCAGCCAAAAAGGATGATAGAGACAGCCATGGCCACAAAACCTGCTGTCATCCTCCGGAGGTCTGCAGCACAAAACACCAACATTAAGCTCCGTTTGTTACCATTCAGGGCTTGCAAGCATCTAGTGATGACGTCTGTTGCATGTTAAATATTTACTTTTGCATTCTCATTCATCAAGGTCTCTTTTATTATTATTTCACAAACTACAAAGGAAGTAATGAAACAAATACAGCAAAAATCTTGCCAACAAAGCAACTGATTACAACTGTACTATTATTACAAAAAGCACATTTCAAAGCACATAATTTTGGCTCCACAGGGCCAGGTATATTATTGATTTGAAAAAAAGGGGAGGGAACTAATAATCAATGATAAAAGATCAGTTTTCTGTGCATATCACTTCTGTACATATTATTATTATACCCTATCTTGAACAAAGTAGTTTGTCTATTCATCACTACCATTCAAAAATAACATTTCTTGTTACCAATGTTGAAAAGATTTGTGCTGATTAATTTTTTTGTGGAAAATGTGATACATTTTTAAGGTTTCTGGATGAACAGGAAGTTCGAAATAATAACACACACACACAAAAAATAAATATTATGTAACTTTATAAATGGTTTTACTGTCACTTTAAACATTTAATCATTTAATGCATCCTTGGTAATAAAAGTAATAAATTCTTAAAAAAAAAAAAAAGATAGAAGTAAATGATCAAATCAAAACAAGAGGAGGGAAATATTCAGGCTGCCAGGCAGTATAAAATGTTTGACCTTTTTGGTGAAACAATGAATTTTTTTAGAGTACATAAGATCTCTAAGGCAGTGGCTGAAAGTGTGTATGTAAGATGTCTAGTATAAGGAGGGTTACAAAAGTATCATCTATCCATCCTACAAACCGTTTGTCCTCTGTAGGGGGTCACGGGCAAAAGTATCAGATTTTACCAAAATATTCCTACAACTAGGAAAGGATCAATTACAGTCTTTTCTAAGTAAAAAGTGTGTTTCATAAATATTGCATCGGAACAAGCACATCACAGACACAATTGTTTATGCAATAATGAACGGCTCAAACCCCAAGGCAGGAATTTTGTAAATCTGACACATGTAAAGTGACTCACGCAGGGCATGCCACTCATCTTGCCGGATGGTCTTGGTGATGTTGACAGGAAGGTTTCGAGGCAGGATTGAAGAGGTGTAATGATACTTCACAGAGGTGCATCTCTGAATCAACCCTATTTGAACAAAACAATGAATCAAACATTGTACAGAAGTGTACTCTTTAATGACATTTACAGTGTTTAGCAAAAGCAAATGAGTCAGAGTTCTGAGGAACAGCAGGTCTGTTGTGATCACAAAATGCCACAAGAGGCCCATGCTTGTATTCAATTTAATTAAACGACTTCCTGGAGAGCAATTAGGCACACATGATTAAATGCACAGGGTCATAAATGTCATAACTTACACTTCATGTTGATTTTAATCTCATGTAAAATGAGAGAACCAGGGTTTAAAAATAAGCATTCTTCATTTAAACGTTTAATACTGTCTATAGATCCCTCAGTATTTAAGAATACTTGAACCGCATGAAACTATCACTAATGTCACTGAAATAGAGCCTATGACTGCAAAAGTACTATTTTTAAAGGGAAGAGTTATGTTTGTCTAGCCAAAAATAAATAAAACGTAACAAAAAAAAAGCCAAACATGCCATGCCATAAGTAAATAAAAACTAACATGCAGCTAGGCCTGTCGCAATAATCAATATATCGACTTATCGCGCAATATATGTACATGACCTCAATAATTTTTGGTGATGCAATATATCGCCCATTATTTTTCCTTAAAAATTAATGTCACCATGTTTTGTACATTTCACTTGCGCCTGTGTCTTCTGCAGCTTCTCGTACATGACATGGTGTAGTCATGAGGTGCTAGTTCAAATAAAAAAAATGCTTCAACAAAAAAAGTTTCATCAGCAGATATGGTCTTGTTTAGGGATCTGTGCTGTTGTGCATACGGACATCTGACTGATAAGTAGTGATTGTGTTTTTCAGCAATAGTGTGCACCCTTCATTTACAGAGAAAAGAAGGTCAGGGAAAAATCTGTAGATGGAAAAATCTCCATACAAGTTCTTTGTGCATTTTTCTTTTTTTCTTGTTACTTTGCACGTTTTGTTAGAAAATGTTTATTTAGTATTTATTCAAGTTTTTTAAGGTATCTAATATTTTGATACTTAATTTCCATGATCTAAATATTCTTAAAAATTAAAAGTCATTTGGAAGTGTGTAGGCCTTCTTGCATTATTATGCTGTTACATTATGATTATATATTCAGTGGCATAAAATGGTCTTTAAAATGACAATAATATCGCTTATCGCAATTATTTCTGGGGCAATATATCGCACAACAAAAAGTTGTTATCGCGACAGCAGCAGTAGAAAGTTAAGATAGTAATTCCTAAACAGTATAACATTACATACTATTTTAATTAAAGACAAGCATTTGGTTGGCACTGTAAGATTTTGCGTCATCGTGAATGACATAAGTGTGAGTGTGTTGTGTGTGTGTGTGTGTGTGTGTATAGTACTGATTGCCTTCCTCACTCTTGAGAATCTTATGAATCCTGAACAGGCGCGTATAAACCTCAGAATAATTAACTTAAACTTCATGAAGCCGGAAACAGTCTACAGTCATTTTCTTTCATAAGGTTTCCTCCTTCTGGACATAAAACAGGTTTAATCTGATAGAAATTCAAATCTCCATCAGGGAAACCTCACATTTAAATCAGATAGCATGAAATGTTGCAATGAGGGTTTTTTTTAAGGTACACTTTGTGTTTTCTCCCCCACATCAACATTATTTTTAGCTTTCATCCAGCTGATGATTTGGTCTGGAATTGATTTGCATAAATCAGAGCAGGCATTCATGTTCTATTCATAAGTGTTGCAACGTGCGTGGTATGGTTTGACATTCTTCCAGTTGTTAGACTGGGTGATGGTGATGAAAGACATGGAGTGGTTTTCTTTTTGGATGCCTCTATATCTCTTGATGTTTTAGCCGTGTTGCAGTATATAGTTGTGATTTTGGTTACAGGGAAACTTTCTTAACACACATTTCTTTCAGATTCCCATGGAAGCCCTTTTCTGCTATGGAATAATAAAAAAAAAGGTAGCTGAGACTTTTTATTTCACAATTCAGACTTTTTTCCTTGCGATTATGGGTTTATATTTCACAATTCTGAGTTTATATTTCACAATTCAGACCTTTTTTTCGATTTTTTTTTTATATACATAATTTAAAACTTGCAATTCTGAGAAGAAATGTTTGAATTGGGAGATATAAACATGCAATTGCAAGAAAAAAGGCGCAATTACCCTTTTTTTTATTTTTTATTCCATGGTGGAAACAGAAAACAGAAAACAAAACAAAACAAAAAACAAAAACAGAATTGCAACATGTAAACTAAGATTTCAGAGAAAAAAAGTCTGAATTGCGAAATGTAAACTAAGAATTGTGAGATGTAAACTTGGAATTGCAAGGAAAAAAAGTCAGAAACAAAGTCTGAATTATGAGATATAGTCACAATTACCTTTATTTCTTAGCAGAAATGGGCTTCCCTAGATCCCCAACAATAAAACTCTTGAATTATTTTGAATACTTTCAAATTTTCTATACATTGTCACTCTAATTTGTTGACTGAACTTAAAATTGGAAGTTAAGTAAGCTTTGGAGCACAGAGAAACATATTAATTGTACATATTTCCATTCAGTCTACTCAAACAGTGAACATTACCAGAAAATGTCAAATGAAACGAAACAAACAAATTTCCCAAAGCATTTCTCAGCATTAAAACGAGTATTATAATGTGCAATATTTCTCTTGATGCCAGACATAAACGTTAGCATGGCCAGTTGGGTCAAAGTGAGACTAGTGTTTTCTAACTGATCATTTTGAACTATTAATTCTTCAAACTGCTCCTTAAATTATACAGAACTAAAAACAAACAAACAAACAAAAAAAGCAAGTGATGGCATCGTATTTGTAAAAATCCACTTGAACAATTAAGTCAAAAGGATTTCACATTTTAGTGGCTGGCATAAATACAACCTTTAGTATGCTGAAGATAGACTGAGGCCATGTGGTTTTGTCTGAGACCATAAGCCAAGACCAGGATCCAGACCACGGCACTGAGTTACGAGATCCACATGAATGTGGTCTCGATAGATCTCCAGACATAGCCTCGAAACTCTAACATGTACAGTAAACAGTATATATGTGCAACCTGAAGAATATTAGGAAACTTCTGTTGGGAGCTAATCTAGGATGATATTAATCACCTGTTTACACTTCACTAATAGCAATGATATTCTTCTGACAGATTTGATGATGCAGAAACTGGCTTTCAGCAGGATAAGTCAACCGAATGACTAAAACACACAACAAATTGGTTCTCATAGCCCATCGGAGCATGACCACATCCCGCTACATCAAAACACCTAGTTTAAACACGATTTATTCACCACAGAATATAAAGGACGAATGCTGCATGACTTGAGTGTGTAAAAATGGATTCTGCTGAGATTGTGGATTAGACTAAACAAGAGAGGAGAGGTCAAGGATAAAGAAAAGGATGTGCCGCCATTTAATAATTGTCTTTACAGAAACCGGACTGTTAAATTCATTCAAGTATTTTCTACAAAGGCAAAGGCGCAAAACGCATTGAGTTTGTTGCTGTACAGATCTGTGGTGAAATGATTTGTGTCATGTTTATCATATCCATGTGTCCAATATATTGTGACAGCTTGTTCTATGCCATTATTATCACAAACAGACGCATCAAAGACCGTGAAGCTGTCACAAAGACACTTTACACATTCAACTGCTCATCCTCTGCTGAAGAAAGTGCATATATCATTTGTGTAAACAATAAAAAACACAAAAGAAAACCTGTGATATCTGATGGAAACTACAAAGAGACTTCAAATGAATTGTTGAACTAGAGTTACAACAGATGAAAAAGAAAATACCCTGCAGATCAGATAAAAAAAACACATTTGAAAATTTGCACAGCACATTTTATTGATGTTAATGCTTTTAATATGAATTGCTACTGAAAATGACTCTTTAAAGATACTTGACACGTGACACTTAGTCTCATTCAACTTTTTAAAGCATTTTACATTTGGATAAGAGGACACATTGTGTACAGTAATCACTGGATTCAGTCTGAACAGTTCCAGTTCTGTAAGGATCATTTCTACTTTATTTTGGTGGATTTACGGTGCTCGGTTATTTTTTTTTAACCATGAAGACACGTAACCATCTATTTTGTACTGTTTTTACATTTAGGACCAAATATGTTTATTTGTTTAAGAAGAGTATTACTGACAATGAAGAACAATGTTCTGGCTGCTTTATGTGAACACAAAGATTACTGTGTTGATAGTGAAGGGTTGGTGAATAAACTGGACCTTAAATCTGGAAGCGATGTATTCCTGGGTGTTGGCTCACAGCCTAACACACCATCACTACTTCATCATTCATGACATCTACAGAGCCACTTAGGGTGACCTGGGATAATCAATGAACAAATTATTGATGAAGATATGATCAAGTGAGCAGCATTTTATCTCTTTGCAACCCAGCAGGAGAAAAGGCTACTGTAAAAGCTCACACTTAATATTTAAGGCCTGAACATAATGTGGAATGAGATCTGTACCAAGTGGTAGAGAGGAGTGCTGTAAGCCTCTTATATGAGATCAGTATTCATATGATGAGGGTAAGTAAAATATAATTATTTTGCTTAAGTTGAATCATCTTATTATGGATAATGTTATCTGATAAACTATATGGTCTAGGCATTCCTTAACTTATCTGAGTAGGTCAACATTTGTTTTACAAAACCAATACTCGTATTCAGTGGTACTCCATTTATATGCCACACTTGAACAGTGCATTTCACTGTCCTTCCTCCTGTAAAGACTGCTCATTTTGTTTTGTTTTCGTCAACCCTGAGCATTTCAATTACATGAGATTTAGAATGCATACATTACACAACACATCTGGTGCTGCTTTGGTTCTGTGTAAATGAGAACGCAAAGACTTTTAAAAAACAACAACTACAACAACAAAAATTCTTTATGCTCTGAAGCTTTGTGAGATAAGGTGCTTTTTTGGTAGGAAACCGTGAAAACAGTGATCCAATACACACTTCAAAAAAATAGGAAAATGCCTTTATTCAACTGGCTATTTAATGATAGAAAACATTTTAAAAGAGAGAACAATTAAAGGTCTGTAAACCCTCTTTTTGTTAAGATCTGTCATTCAAAAATACATTAAAATGCAAATCATACGAAAAATTACTTCAGTTCATGATGAATATGCTTTTTAGAAGTTTTCTTTTATATATTTTCTTTTTTTGTGGAGCTTAAAGTCAGAATCATCTAGATAATGTAAAAGCAATTATAGCAGAAATAGCTAAATAAATAAATAAATAAATAAGAAAAATTAAAAAAAGGCTGAAAGTCTTGAACAAAGAAAAGGAGGTTAGGTAGATTGGCATAATTCCCCATTTACTTACATTTAAATAGTTTTCTTTAAAAATATTATTTATATATTATTTAAAAAAACTAAATAAATCTTTCAAATGAGTGTGGTTTAACCAACATTCAGGTTTCCATGTCTCTTCTTCTAATTCTTTTTTATCATCTCAGACATCATTATTAATCACTGATCCATTCATGCATTTATATAGCACTGCAGAATTAAATGGTGTGTAAGTGCACCTTTTCGTGGTGTATAAGCAACTATCTGTGACACAGGTAGGCTGAATTCAGCACCGTGGATAGCGACAGTTATCTGATTAAGGCCTTCCATATTTCCCATTTACTATTGACATAGCTTTCCAACTAAACTTAACAACATAATTTAATAAAGGAAATGAAACTAAGCGGAGGTTAATGCCATGTAGGTAAACAGGAAGAACCAACCTAACCCAATGGCCAAGTGCATTGATAATAGTAAGGAAAAATGATCGTGCGAAATTTACCCCTGGATGAACGTCCACATCCGTTCCCTTCAAAACAAAACGGCCTGGAGCCCTGGACCGAGGCTGACAAAGCACCTCAAAACAGAAAGCAGCTCACCTTTGTAAATGAGATCCTCGGTCTCCAGGTCAAAGCCCTCGCGATGGCACTTTCTCCACAGACCGGAGATCGTGGAATTGAACTGGCGGCCACAGTGAGACTCCATGGCCGTCGCCGAAGCTGGAGCGTGCCGCTTCAGGCGTGTCTCCGTCGCTTTCCTCTCATAGCCCTTTGGAGGCATCTGGAGAGGCAAGTTGTGATTTGAGATGTAAATGTATCCGGGATCGTTACGCTTGTTTGCATAGTTCTTACAGCGCTCGCGATGCCGCCGAGCGTCCGTCTCGTACCAGTAATCGGTGCAGATGGCCATAGTCAACAAGACCAGTGCGCAAAACGCCAAGAAAAGCCCCGCGCTGGTTAAAATCTTAATGGCCGCCATCTTCTCCGCTCGTTGGAGAACACAGACAGACGCGCGGTCCTCCCTCGGCAGCCTTTGTGAAAGGCGAAAACACACCGAATCCTTAGCAGCTCTCGGAAGCTGACATGACCAGGCTCGACTCCAGCTCGATGCGATCTATTGTTGCAGAGCGCCCGAACAGATGTGCTGCTTTCCCACCATCTGTTTTGCTTTTGAGTTGAGGAGAATGGGAGAGATGGGAAGAGGAGAGGCGATGCGAGGACTAGGACTGAGTGGTGCTTCGTGAGAGTGCAGTGCTCTCTCTTTCCTCTTGGGCCTCAGCGAACTGAGAAGACACCAATTAGGTGCCTCAGGAACACGAGGAATAAGTGATAAACATGAGAGGGTCATTTATTGATCTCAATAATTGTGATTGTGATTTATTGATCACAAACTCTGGCACAGCATCACAGATCCAACCAGCTGTACAAATATTTCTTCAAGACAAGTTATACTGTATCACATTAGTTCTCTTGCTCTCCTTGGCATTTAAACATCTTTCATTATTAATTGGTGGGCATTCCACGAAATGGATGCCTTTTCCATTTTGGAAAGGTGATTTAAGTAGTTTTTTAAAAAGATTTAAACATTCAGTATATTACCTTTTTTTACTGTATAAAATGTGATGATCTTTACCCACTTATATCCATCAGTTGTTTACTGTAAAAAAAAGAAAGAAAAAAAAAGACATTTAGAAAATCCCCAAAAATCTTTCCCCCCACTTTATATAAAGTGTCAACTACTGTGTACTAAGATTTAATTTCATACAGTGCACTTATTGTGTAGATACATGTTTTTACATTGTAAATGTACAAATACCTGCATGTAATTAGAGCTGGAATTTATTTTCTGTAGTTACATCTATAATTCCACTCCTGACCCTACCCTTACCCCACCCTAAACCTAACCTGTCCCTAAACCTTAACCATATCCCACCTCAGTAGCAACACACATGTTTTGCATAATGCATGTTTTGCATATATATATATATATATATACATGAAAAATGAAAGTATAAAGTGACAGCAAAGTTTAGCTTCTTTTAAATTATATGCAAGGTTTGTTGTGACTTGATTTAAGACTTTGCTTATTATTGCAGAATTGTAATATTTTTATTGTTACTTTTTTTCTGGTTCTAAAAGAATAATTTAAGAGCATTTTTGTTGTAAATGTTGTTGCATGTCTATTTTAATAAATGTAGAGAGTTTTTTTTTAATCCTGATATTGAATGGAGTAAAACTGCATCACATACCAAAGGTGCCATTTTGCAGAATGACAATAAATACTTTCTGTAATCATGACAAAATCTTGTTTGTGTTATATTTACAGGTTTGTACTCCATGCATTTGTATTCTTAAATGATGTGAGGAGCATGCAAAAATTTGGCTGATAATCTGGATGTAAGACTTATACATTTTAATGGGAAAAAGTAGTTGAGTCAACTTAAAATATTAAAGCAACTGGCTGCAAAGCTTTTTTTAGTTTACTAAACTTCAGGAATACGCAAGATGTGCCAACTCATTTTTTAAAGTTTGACTGGTTGTTCACTCAACTTAAACCAGTAGTTTTAGTGAACTTTCATATGATTTGGCTCAACTTCATCCACTGATGTTGAATAAACTCAAAAGTGCTTTGCAGCCAGTTACTTTATTTTTTTTTAAGTTAACTCAACTTTTTATTTTCTACAGTGTACTTTCAGAAAAGTATACAAAACTGAACAGAAAATTGCTCAAAGGAAACTCCCAGAAGACAGCAGTGTCCTGCCGACATACGGTAGACTTTGTCTTCTAAATCATTCCCAGCTGCAATCTAACCCATATTATAAGAGGTGAGAAAGTACTTATTATTGTGCTATAATAAAACATTCATTTAGACTGAAATATAAAATATGATAGACATCTTCCCTTCCACATTACATCCAGTGGGCCAAATCTTAAACTCTGTCTAAAACTCTGCATCTGTCCTTTCCAGAAATTCTTGTTATTTCAGCATTATTTTCCTTCACTGCTCCTCTCTATATATTTCTCACCATTTTCCCATGATCAGGTGCACTCAACTGTTTTATTAATATACTTGTGTGAACTGTAGCAGCACTAACTTGCCACCTGCCATCCATGGAGGTGGCCCACAGAGAGGGAGAGAAGCACTGAGAAGAGTTTCAAAAGCATGGGAGGTTCAGGTCAAGATACAGGAGAATAAATCATGTTAGTACAAGCAGCCACGTTTTAGGTGCCCATTAAAAGTGGTTTTGAAGGACAAGGCATAAATGCTTTCAAATATAAAAAGTGGTATATCATTGTCTAAAGTTCCAGGTGGTTTCCCACACACAGTGGGCTCTGTCAGGGCAGATGACAAAGGAAGACAACCCACAGGCTAGTCGTTATGGCAACAGTCCCTTGCCAAACAGACTGTGTTGAAATAGGACAAGTGTGAACACAAAATCAGTACCACCCCCTGATTCCCATATGACATTCCAGACCCAGACTGTGCAGTAAAAATGTGCTTGTGGCACGCATCTTGGCATAGCCGACACGGTTGCAGAAATGGTACTTTGAACACATACAGGACTTGGAGCGGCAGGCAATACAAGCCATTTGAGTATGACATATCGCATTAAAAAACACAAAGACCTTGCAGACTGAGACCTAAGATGCGCAAATAAACCCCACACAGTTGTCATCCAAGCAAACTGCATCAGCATAGAGGAACAGTAGTGGAAAGCCAAAGCTCGTGGACACGTCACAAAAGCACAGTCTAGGTTGCTAACGGTTAAACATGGTGGGGAGTCCATAATGGCAGAGGCAGCAATCTCATGAGAGTCATTTGGCATAATGGTTCCTCCGCATGGACATGTAACAGCAAAGGAATAGGTGGTAATTTAGCAGGTCATGTGCAACTTATGCTGGAAACATTGCATCCTCATTATTAAATGCATTTTCCTACTTCAGAAAGGTACTGTATATGCAGTGTCATTCTGACATGAAAACCAGAACTGTTAATTCTGTCATTCTGAGTCCATTAACTCTAATTCAATAGAAAAGACCTGTTTCAATGCAGGAATGACACTCACTCAACATGCATCACTTCAGTGTCACAAGCAATCTACTGGAGAGAATGGTTCTGCATCTAAAAAAAAAAAAATAGACAAAAGTGAAATATCACAAATATATGTTTTTATAAACCTGAAACAGAAAAAGCTGTCAATGGTTAAATGTGGATCAAAATATGGTCCTCAAATGTACCAAAGCAGGTAAAACAAGGTAAATCTGATAGTTCACCCAATTTACTCTAATTTACCCTCATGTTGTTGGTTATCAACCTTCATCAATATATCATCTTTTGTATTTAACAGAAGAAACGGTAACACTTTATTTTAAGGTGTCCTTGTTTACACATACATACTATTATAATAACAATTAATTATGCATAATTACATGCAAGTAACCCTAAGCCAAACCCAAATCTTAACCCTAACCATACAGTAAGTAGTTAATTATTATTATTCAGTACTTATATGTATAATTACACTGTAACAAGGACACCTTAAAATAAAGTGTAACCAAAGAAACTTGTATATTTAGGAACAAGTTGAGGGTGAGTAAATGACAGAATTTTCATTTTGGGATGAACTGTCACTTTAAGCCAAACAGTTTTTCAGCAGTAAAGAGAAGAGACACTTTGTTAGGAGGTTGACAAATGACTCCGATTTGACAAACTGTTGGCTGAACTGATTAATACATTTCTACAAGGAATTTCTACAGTGCTAGGAGCAGTTGCACTCCTACAAGTAAAAGCTGCACACTTAAAAACCAGACGCAACAAGAGTTTTAAATCAAACAGTAACATTTCTTTATTTCAACTATAACAATGGGAGGACTTAAAAGTTAAAAAATTTTTCTTTCAACATGACATTGTTAATAGAATAAATATATAATCTCTTTTCAAATATTTACCATCTGGCAAAGACTGTTCTGACCTTCCATGTGACGCATCCAGAACATTCTTTTCAGTAACGTTCCATAAACAAAACTCCCAAACAGACAATCCATTTATCAACTATTTTGTCTTTTTAAAAATGTGAATGAAATGTATGAAATGGCAGCAAGTCAGTTAAGTAAAAGAACTGTCTGCTTATGAATCCATCAATCCTCAAGACTAAATCACTGAAAACTGTGTATTGCAATGCCAGGACAACAATGAACTGTACAGAAAATTAAAGCTAAAATGCAGTAGTGTAGTGGCTATCAGGACACAATCAATAAGACTAAATACTGTAAGGAAAAACAAAAACAGCACAATTTAAAAAAAAATGACTGAGGAATACAACAAGAAAATAAGGCCTGTTAAGCATTTCAAAAGTGTTTGAAAAAAGGAGTGTTCATTAATGGATGTGCAATTAGGAATATGTAGTCATGCAAAGTGTGGATATGTCTTAACTTGAGCAAATGAAGTGTGAAATGAGCTTGTATAGATTTAACTTAAACAGAAAGTGAAGCAGTATTAGTTTTAAGGAAACTCAATTATGATGGCCATCAAAAATCTGATTATGTAAGCGTATGTGCCTCTCTTAATAGAGGATAAAGTGTTGACTTGTGAAACCTGCATGTGCAGTATGCTACAATTAAAGCAAATCACATTGATGTAACCTACTAACATTGCTGTTCATGCCATGCTTGTAAAGTAAAAATGCAGCAGTCTGGCCTATCAAAGTCATTTTATGCCGTGGTTTGCATTTATCTGGCCGCCTGATTCAATCCTTCCAACCGCATCCCATTTATGAAGGATGGAGTTTGAAAAGAAGCATAAAATTTCCTTCTACTGCTTCCAGACTTTCCAAATGGGTTGTAACTCACTCCAGTACACATTTAAATATTTATCAGGGTCCATGGTCCCTGCACTTGCACCTTGTTCAATACAGTTCAATACAGAAACGTTTCAATCCCAATGCAAAGCACTACTAACATTGAAATGTGTTTGAAAAAAAAAAAAAAAAAAGATTTGGAAAGTTCAATGACACCCAGCAGGAACATGAACAAGAACGCAGAATAGTTGCAAATGTTTTGGCATATTTCAGCCAAAACAACCATTGTTATTTCTGAGCACCATTTGCACAAACCTGTATTTCCCGTCAGTTTCAGCTGGTGCCCAGTTCAGTTTCAATTAAATCCGGACACAGAGGTGTATGAAGGATAAGGCTAAAATCACATGGACACACATTCAAACACCTGATTGTCAAGGCTGTTTCTTTCATTGGTCTTTCCTCACATGGTCTTTGAGGGTGACAAAAATCTCTAAATTAAAGCATAACCAGTGGAGTGAATTGTCCATAAGTCCTCCAGCATGCTAGTTAGCACTCTCAATGTCCTTTGATAAAAGGAGTGCTTGCCTGTGGCTAGTCCATGACGACTGAGAGAAGAGCCATGACTGCTATCCCACAAAACAACAGCAGAATTTGCAGAAAGGAGTTCCTGTGGGAACAGGGGATATGATCATTGACATTCAGTTTATTTAATATGTGAAGTCCGGCAGAATTTTATATGCAACACTGTGGGAGACAAACAGACCGAAAAGACCCCATTCTCAGGGAAGTGGACACTTTACCTAGGGTTGGTCTCCTGTAGCAGATCAGGTACCACATTGACCAAGGCAATGTAGAGAAAGCTACCTGAGGTGAAGGGCAGGATCCAGGCAGTGGCATTCTCTAGAAATACACGTGAGCAGAACCAACACTGAAGAATACGTTTGATAAGGTGCTTAAATGAGCAAACTGATCCACATATATAGTCCAGCAATAGATGATTAGACATTTATTTTGTGGAAAACCCAAATAAAAACACCAATTTATTTATTAAGCATCAGTAGCAGCTAAAAGTCACGTTAGGCATGGGATTCCTACATTAAGTCATAAATAAGGAAGAACAACAGGGCAAACAACAACCACCACAGACATCGGAAGAAACATGTTTTGTGTTTTTAGTAGTTTTTGTGTTTTTTTTTTTATTAGCACTATGATATACATTCCTATAGTATACACCAATACTATGGATACTGTATTCTGCACTGTTGTTTTTGTTTAATTTGCTCCAGTTTGCACTACAATATCTTGCACTAACCATTGTATATATTACCTTCTGAAATATCTCTCTTCTTGTCTATTTTATGTTTATTTGTATCTATTCATGTTTGTCTATTATGCCAAAACCGTGTGAGCTGCTAAACAGTCTTTCGTTGTTCAAAACAATGACAATAAAAAAAAAACGACCTATCTATCTATGAAAAAGCTCAAAGATACACTACAGTTCAAAAGTTTAGGGGCGGTATTTTTTTTAAATGTTTTTTTAAAGATCTCTTATGCTCACAAAGTTTGCATTTATTTAATCAAACTACAGTAAAAACAGTAATATGAAATATTATTACAAAACAAGTGTTAAAACAAGTGTTTTCTATTTTTAGCAGCCATTATTCCATTACATTATTATCAGTCTTCAGTGTCACATGGTCCTTCAGAAATCATTCAATAACCAATTATTATTATCAGTGTAAAAAAAAAAAGCAAGAAAGTTAAAAGGAACAGCATTTATTTAATATATATATATATATATATATATATATATATATGTATGATTAAT